CCGGCCCCCCCCAGGTCCCCTTCTCAGGGTCTGCATCACCCGCAGGCATCGCCGGCCTCTCCAGCCCATCTCAGTGCTCGGATTCCCGGGACGCGCGACTCAACTGGACCCCCACCCCGCGCCCCCTCCCCACATAACGTAGACTCGCCTCTTCTCTAACATCCGTGCTGGCCGCTGGCGCGCCCCGGCTCCGGCACGCTTCCCCCCACACCTCCCTGCCCGGCTGCCAGCCCCGGACCCCCCTGTTCCTCCCCACCAGCCCCGAGCCGGGGGCCGTGGTGCACAAACTCTTCCCGGGGAAGATAATTTTCTTTTTTTATACACGGTTGAGTGTCACTATCCCCTGCTCCAGAACTCCCTTCCCGGGGGATGCTGCTGCTTCCTCGGCTCCAGGGGGGAGGGTTGGGGCTTGTGGACCCCCACCTCGTCCCCTGGTTTTGGTCCCTCGGGGAGTTGGGGGGGCCGGGAGCCCCTGGGCATGGCCCCCCCCCAAACCCTGGTCTGTGTTTACATGCCCGGCTCCCTGCAGTTTACAGCCCCATCCCCTGCCTGCCGGGAGGCTCCGGCTGCCGCACAGGGACTGTCCCCTTCTTGGGGTGGGGGGGGAGCCCAGCGTGGCCCCCCTGGCTCCCAGGTGGGCACCGGAGGGCTTGAGCAGCCCAGGGGTGGGCACGGGAGCGGGGGGGGTCACAGGTGGCCTTCTTTTTCTCTTAGTGGCTTCTCCAAGGGCTATTCTCCAGGTTGGGCTCTATGCCTGCTGCTCCTTTCTGAACACTAATTCCTGCCACGGGTGGGTTTGGGATGGGATCGTGCTGCGGCAGTGGGGGGGGGGCGGGATGGACATTGGCTCCCCAGCCCTGGTCTGTGCTGGTGCTGGGGGCAGATGGGGCATGGGCTGCCCCAGTTCCCCTCCTGCCCCATCTGGGGAGGGGGGGGTCTCACTGTGCCAAATCCCTGCCGGGCTCCCCAGCCCGTCCTCGTCCTCGCAGGGGGCTGCGGTGACGCCGGCTCTGTCCCTCTGTCAGGGCTCAGCCTGGCACCTGTCCCTCTCATTTTGGGGATCTGGGGTGGTTTCAGACCTCCCCCCCCCCCCCTCTGGGCCCTCTTGCGGTACGTGTGTGGCTGGGGGGGGGTCCAGGCGAGGCAGCGCTGCCCTGGGCTCTGTTGCTGCCTGCCGAGGCCGGGGCTGTAGTGTCCCTGGTAGAAACCCCCCCCCACCTCATCCTTTTTTTTTTTTTTTTTTTGGTAAGATGAATTTAGCATTGTTTAGTTATTAAAAATACTGGTTTTTAATATTGAAAATAAAGCATTTAATATCAACTGGCCAGGCTGGAGGTGTTTGGGGAGCCTTGGCGGTGGGCTTGGAGGTAAGGGGGTGCCGAGGCCCCCTGAGCCGTGGAGGGGCAGCATTGGGGTGAGGGGGGGGACCCTGCTTGGGAGCAAGATGGGCGCAGTCAGAGCCTGGCACGGCCTCAGGGTAAGAAGTGCAGCCTTTATTGATATGATACCAGTGGGTTGCCCCCCCCGGGGGTCCATCCCCCAAGACAGCGGGGCTGGCTGTAAGGCCCAGGGCTGAGAGCCCCTCGCTCCCCCCACCCCCAGTGCTCTTTAGCAAAGCATCCTCCCACCCAAACTGGGAAACTCTCCTGTCCCCCAGTTGCAGGGGGAGCTCGGCACTGGTTTGGGGCAGCAGCATCCCCAAGCAGGGTGTAACAGGGGCTCATGCTACCCCGTATGCCCCCCCAGGAAGGGAAGGGGCTGAGCTTGGCCCCGTGCTGGGAGAAGGGGGGAACAGAGGGTCAGCCCCAGAGCTCCCCGCTGGCCCCAGCTCGGAGAGAAGCGGCTCCAAGTCGAGCTTGGCTGGGAGCAGGCATGTGTGGCAGCGCAGGGTGCCAGGGGGGTCCGGCCCTGCCGTGGGGGCCACGGCCAGAGCGCTGGGTGCCCCCAACCCTTAGGCGGGCGGCTTGCGGAAGACGCTCCAGGCATGGAAGCAGCGGGTGAAGGGCCAGGGCTCGTTGCCTTTCCGCACCAGCCGGAGTTTGCGGGGACGCGTGGGGTCCTTGGAGCGCATGTGCTGGATGTAGACCTGGGGTAGAGCAGAGCCGTGGGGGTCCCCAACCCTCGCCCACCTTTGGGGGGTGGTGCTCCCCAGCCTGGGGGAGCTGCTGGGAGCTCTGCAGCACCACGCACGGGGCAGGATCCGGGCCCCAAGGGGAGATGAAGCCCCAAATCCTTGCCCACACCCCCAAGCAGCAAGCAGGAGGGAGGCCCTACCTGGCATGCCTTGAGGCTCAGCTTGATCTCCACCTGGCTGGTCTGAGTGCCCACCCACATGTAGACCTGTGGGAAGGATGTGCAGCCAGGCTCAGCCGATGGAGCCACTGGCAGATCCAGCCCCTGCCACGCTGCCCCTGGACCCGGACACGGGAAAACCTCACGGCCCTGGCTCACCTCCCGCCCATTGTCCAGCAGCATGATGTCATCATCAGCCAAGTCGTCCTGGCAGAAATCGGAGCACTTCTCTGACACAGAGAAATAGCCCTTCTCGTTGGAGCACCTGCGGGGAGAGTTGGAAGGGGACCACATCAAAGAGTTTGTTAGGACGCAGCTTGTGCAGAAGGAAGGGACGTGATGGAGCAGCTGTTTCCTGCCAATTGATGCCCAGGGATGGACAGAGTTGGGAGAGGGGCTTTGCCTGTCATGGGGAGCTGTGCCCTGGCTAGCCTGGGAGGACTGAGCCCCTGGTGAAGGCCAGTATGGCCCAGGCACTACGGGAGGAAGGGGACCAGCACAGACTGGAGCAGCCCCTCCTGGACCAGGACCCACCTGAAGAGCCGGGAGTGCTTCATATAGTCGGCATCTTCATCGTAGGGTTTCTGGCTCCCGATGCCTACCCAGAAGAAGTTTTCAGGCTCCTCTCCCTCGTTGATCACCTGCGAGGGCAGGGACAGGGCTGAGCACAGCCGTCCCTTACCCTGGTGGTCACTGCCACCCAGGTAAGGGGGCATCAAGATCCGCTGTGCTCCCGCCCGCTCACCTGCTTGCTGTAGGAGTCGTCAAACATGTGGTTCATGATGTCCTCAGCCAGCTTGGCCTCGTCGGGGTCGGCCGCCCGGCCCACCCAGGTGTAGACGATGCCCTGGTTGTCTGTGCTCTCAAAGGGCACCTGGGGGAGCACAGAGAGTCAGGGCTGCCCAAGCAGGGAGGAGGGCAAGTGGCCAAGCATCCCTGAGAATGCTCAGGCATGAGCACTACCTTGAGGATGAAGCAGAACTCTGAGTTGAGCAGACCAGCATCTGTGTTGATCTGGATGCACCTAGAAAAGAAGCCCACGAGGCACAATCAGCAAAAGATCGGGCAGTTGTGCCCACTGGCACGTACCCCGCCAGGAGCCCAGCACCCATGGGTGCTCCCTGGCTCGGAGCAGCCCCCAGGAGGACTGACCTGGTGCAGAGGGCCCCGCCGTTGGTGCGGATGTGGTAGAGGCTGGGCTGGGGTGGGCTGGCCCTGTCCTTCCGCTTGCCCCGGTGGATGACAAACCTCCTCTTGAAGTGCGAGAGGAACTTGGGGTTCTCCTGCTGCTGGGTCATGCGCACAACCTGGCCAGAGGTGGGTGTCAGTAGGGCCATGGTCCACCCCCCTTCCCCAAAACAGAATCCCAAGCCCCAGCTGCACCCCCCTGCCAGCCCCCATCTCTGCTGCTATCCCCTGCCCTTAGCCTGGGGGGCAGAAATGGGATGGGAGAGAAGTGAGGCAAAGCTGGGGGACCCCTGTGTCACCCCCCAGGAGCATGCAGCAGGGTCACCTCCAGTTTGCCAGGGAAGAGACTCTCGAACTTCTTCTGGAGGCTGAAGGTGAAGGTAAGCCAGCCCATGTTGGAGGCCTCCCGGCCCTGCCAGAAGTAGACAATGCACTGGAAGTCTTCCTCAGGCTGCTTTTCCTCCTCCTCTTCCTCACCCTCCTCCTCCCCTTTGCCTTCACCCTTCTTCTTCTTCTTCTCCTCTTCCTCCTCATACTCCACTGGCACCCAGTACCTGAGGGCAGGAACAGAGTGTGATGTCAGGGATGGGGCAGGTTGGGGGTCTGGGCACGGAGATGGGGGGGACAAGGGGGTCCAGCAGCCCCAGAGAGGGGACGAGCCAGGTTTCACCTGCAGAGGAAGACATAGCAGTCGTGGGTGTGGAAGTGACCAAACTCCTCCTCGGGCAGGCGAGCGAATTTCTTGCCCTCCAGCACGAAGCCCTCCATGCCGTCCAGGTCCTCGTTCCACTCCTCCATCAGCTGCTCCGCCTGCAGCCCCATGTGCTCTGTCAGCCAGTGGCCACCCAGCCCCTCCATCAGCACCCGACCCAACAACACACGGGGACGCACAGGATGGTCCCCAGTCCTACCTCGCTCAGGGGCATGGGGGGCTGGCGGGGTAGGAAGAGCGCCGTGAGGTCGGCCTTCATCTGGTCCTTCTTCTCAGCATCCTTACGGACCTTGCCGGCGAGGCCGCCCTCCTGCAGCACCGTCTCGGCATTGCGGGTGTAATCTACACGCAGGACATCATCCCAGTTCTTGAACTTAGACTTGAACACCTAAATTGGGGGGCAGGTAACTCATCCTGGGCCACAGCACCCTCTCTGGCACCCAGCACTCCATCCGAGGGGTCTGTGCCCCCATCTTCCTCCTGAGTACTGCTGCCTGAGGGTCTGTGCCCGTTCGCAGGCACGTGGGCTGCCCTACCTGGCACTCGGTGCCCTCCAGGTTCCTGGAGACCATGGCATGCTTGGGCCGGTGCAGCATGCCGCACAGCTCCTGGCTCAGCTTCAGCGCTGCCGCCCGCACCAGCCGCGGCGACTTCCTCCCAA